GTGTATTTATGAATAAATCTTTTTTGAAGAATTTTTTAATTCGTTTGTTTTATTTGTTTGGTTTTGGGAGTTTTCTTCATTTTGTGTATTTAACGGAATTATTTATGTGGCACTGTTATGTTTCCATACACCTACGTGTAGTTTAATTCATTTGGCTCCTGGGACGTTTTAGACGAAGTTATATAACACCTAAAATATTCTTACACACAACAGACACATAAGAAAATAAATAAAAAGACACTTGATGGACCAAAATGAGACGYGACCATCCCTTTTATTATTTTAGAGACCACCACTGATCCTGCTTGTTGAAAAGCGGGCTGTTTAATCAGCTTGTTGTAATCTTACGAAAGATTGCAGTATGGGAGGYGTGGCCTGTGACGTCAGCACGTGACGTATGAAAGCGCCAACACCAGCACGCTGAGCTGAGCATCCTCAGTAATCCGACTCCTTTCGAATTCCCGTCGCACGTCAAAGTTGCTGCTAAACTGAGACCGACATCACTCCATAAGATTCAGAGTCACGCTTCACCTTATCCTGGTACTGTTTGGACCCTCTTTATTTATTATTTTATGTTTTAGGTGACGTGCAAATTGATATTTTAGTGAGTGAGTTCAGTGGAAAATAACTGACAATTAGCTAGCTAGCTTTAAGGAGGCTAAAGCCGGTGATGTGCGAAATTCAGTTCTTCATCTTTCCAGACTTATTCCTCTTTGGATGAGAAACAACATGCTTTTTTAATCCGTGGTTATCATATTTATTAGTTGTGTTGCGCTGCTTTAGCTCCTATTAACAGAGTTAGACGTATTCTGTTCAGATTCAGAGTTACATAATGTCACGCTGTTCTGTAGTTACCTCTGCAGACACCTAGAAATCCTTATTTAGCCTGGCACTGAGGTCAGTGGGTGTGTGGTTGGAGGCAGCTCCTCAGCAGCCTATCATCTATCAAGTTTGGTGGGATGAGTCTTTGGATCAGGTCCACCTTTTTGTTGTTTTAGTAAGTAATCAATAATCCTTACTAGCTAACTTACTGTACGTGTTCTCAGTAAGTATTGGTTGTTTCTTTTTAATACGTGTTTTAAAGACAATTAACGTTGTAATATTTCCAGATGAACTGACTCGTCAGCTGTGCAGGACTATCATGTTATTGCTGATGAACACAATATCTGGGTGAACTGGTTTTAAACTTAATCCCAAGATTACTGGTGAGAAACCAGATCAGACTGAATAATGATGTCTGTCTGTTAGGGGTTGGGCCTAATCGTATCGTGTTCAATTAATCGCCAGAAAAACATTAATCGATTGCTTTAAGGCTGCAATGATTAATCGACGACTAATCGATTATTAAAATAATCGATTAATCGTTTTCATTTTTTTTGTTCTTTACTAGGGTTGGGCGATATTGGCAAAAAAA